CGCTCAGAAGCCCATATTTCAGTATAGACTAATCATTTGGGTTTAATCAACGATGGGATAATCGAAACAATTATACTAAAACTGTACCCATTGCACAAGAAGTGGCTATCATGGCTCGGTGGTGTAGTGGATAACTCTATGGTGCTTGAAGCGATCTCTCCCGAGTCCGAATCCAGGTAGGGACAACACTTAATGGAAGGTAGGTACATCCAACTGACGAGTCCTAAATAGGATAAAATGCGCATCCTGGATTCCAATGCTAGCCACAATTCATTTTCTCTGTGATTAGAACATAGATAATATTGAGGTATCCAATCAAAGACGATACAATACAAGGAATTATACTATTGACGGTTATTATTTACCTGCTAGAGATCAAAGAAGATATTTTAACGATTACTCAAAATTACCTAACGTCGTTATGACCTAATATTTAGCAGTAAGCAACTCTACAAAGTTAAGATGTATTGTTAATTAGACTTTATTGACTAAACTCTATGTGCACTACCTTCTAAATATGCGATTCAAATGTAGAACAGAACAGAACTAACATGTTATAGGATACCGCTGAAAACTTTCGCCTTCTTTCTGCTATCTTTCAATCAGTCATGATCTTAGGAGGGAAGACTCCTCCTTTTAGTGTAGCAGATTCTAATTTGTGGATGGAGTCCTCATCACGAACTGACATCAGTTAGGGAGTTATTAGTGAACAAAGACTATAAGAAAAAATATTTTATCTTAGTTTGAAAATAAGACTTATAGTGACCAAAGTAACACATGACACCAGTGCGTAAACTCCCTTATTGTTGTTCTGAACAGTATGGTGAGTTGTAGATTAACTAGATGAAGAATTGAGACGACAGAAATCAATGGTTGAAGATTCTTGATGAAATGACTGAAAATTGCTTACAGTGGCTCAGATTTTTCCAATCTTTGACATCTTCTAAAACTTGAATGTTTGACTAACCTTAATTCTTAAATTCTCTTTCCTCCTATACACCTGTGTTTATTTTGATATCAATCTGTTCTTATTCACTGGTTATTTCCATGCTACTGTGAAATATTTCAACTTGAACCGATACACCTATATTCAAGGTTCTACATGGACTTTTTTTCTATTTCTTCTTGTTGGAGACTACTCAACTATATGCACCTGTATCTTCATACAGGATGTAAACCAGGACTGTCAGCCCTTACGATGATCATGTTGCTATCGACTTACACTGGTTTATATTTACAAATTTTATCAGTTTCCAATGTAGTACCATAACGATGGATTGTTATCAGTTAGTTTCTTGTCCACTTATGTAGCAGGTTTTTTTTACATAACAGACTGAAATTCATCTCAAAGTAAGTCATTAGTGAAAATTGGATTACTATTCACTCACAAGTCTACAGGCGAAAACTAACAAGTTGGCAGAAGAGGTGGGGCAGCGAAGACCGGACTTCAAGTGAATATAGAGAAGACAGAGGTGATGAAGATACCGCACCACCAACAACAAACTCCAGTCACCATCAACGGGAAAAACTTAAAGGAAGTAACCTCCTTCACCTATCTAGGAAGCACTGTTTCAACTACACGCGACACGGGCACAGACGAGGACGTCAAAGCCAGTCAGAATCGGCAAGACAGCAAGACAGGTGTTCATTAACCTGAAACCAGTGTGCAGATCTTCTGGACTCCACTCACCACGTGGAACAAGATCCGGATTTTCAACACCAACATCAGTCAAGTCAGTGCTTCTGTATGGTTGAGAGACTTGGCGCGTCACGAAGAGCATTTCCAATAAACTACAGACACTCATCAACAACTGCTCACGCTGGCTCGATACTGAAGATCAGATGGCCAGAATAATGAGAATAAGCAACAAGGTGCTCTGGGAACCAACCAACCAAGAACCTATCAGGCAACAAATATGCAGGAGGAAGTGGAGATGGATTGGGCATGCACTGAGAAGGCGGACTGGGGACATCACGCGTCAGGCCAGTTGCTCGAGTGGAATCCCCATGGGAAGCGACGAGTTGTTCGTCCGAGGTGAGGGTGACATGTAGGAGATGGTGTGAGGAGGAAATGTGAGCTTGTGGGCTGTCGTGGAACGAGGTTCAAAAGATCTCAGAGAACAGAGGTCACTGGAGACGTGCTAGTGAATCCCTATGTTCCACTAGGAACCCAAGGGACTAATAATAACAAAATAATAAAAATTCACTCACAATATGAAATCCGAAAGGTTTTAGAATACTATACGCTAAAACAGTCTCAATGTGATATAAAGTAGCTCTCCGGTGAACTCTGTTGTTGAATAGCTCTTTATAAATGAAGTCAGTTAGCTCTGAAAACTGCTTTAAAATTCAGACAATTCCACGGAAATGTACAAATCATTCGTTAACTGTCAAAATAAATTCAAACTACAACCTAGAAGTTTGTAGAGATTTATTTTTCGATTTTAGGTTGATATTCATCATATGGACTGACATCAATTGGAGAACCACTGGGAACCTTGAAGCGCCATGCAGCTGTTTCGTCCCAGTATGGGACTCCTCAGCAGTGCATAGCCATGACCTCACTATTGAGCAAACCTACGACCTCCGGGTTCCACGGCCAACACGTTAATACAAATCCTGAAAAAAATTTCTGTCGAAACCTCACTAGTGACATGCTTCAAGATGAGATTTCCAAAGTTCTAGTTAGAAGTAGGGTGCGGTGGAACCAACTAAGTTGGACGTGAGTACTGTCACTCAACGACGGTATTGGATAGAGATCGTGCCATATTGTAAAGTGACAGAAGTAGGAATTATGGACTACTGGATGTCAATCTATTCGCTGAATAGTAGGGTGCTCTTGGCGGAACCTGAATGTTGTAAGTTCGATCCTGGTAGAGTGGGGTCATGAGAGCACAATGCTAAGAAGTCAGGTGCTGAAACAAGACACTTAATGTCCAGTGCTCTCACATTGACGATGCTTTTTCAGTTGATGTCATGATGAATATTAGTCTGAAATTCAAGCTCCTTTAAAATATGATGGAAAAAATTACAAATAGATCTCAACATTAAAACATACGTGAATTTCATAGAGGTTAGAGAGGCAGAAAAAGAAACCTTCACTAATAATTTCCACTTTTCACAAATGTAACTTCTCTCTGTTGCTATTCGCAGAGGTAACACGTTGTAGTCATGGTAACGGTTTCCTACCCCCTACCCTCCCAAGAGAAACCACATCAAATCTACTAGGTTAATGGTCGAATCCTAGAGTTGTAAGCGCTTAATTTCGTTCATGTAAACATTTATCGCATACTTTGATAATAATGATAATCTGTCATCACATAATTATCCATTCGCTAGGTATACTTCATCACTATGTTAATATACTTCTACTAATCATTTATATCATTAACTTGATTACAGTGTGTATGTGTGTGTGTATGGCAAACATTATTTCCTGCCCGTCACCATATCATTTGCCCATGTTTCCATCTTTATGGCCCTCTCTCTCTCTCTCTCTCTCTCTCTCCTATTTATGTATTCATCTTAATTTGCATATTACTTCATGTACGAAACACTACAATTGTAATTGCTTTGATGTCGAAATGCCCTGGATGGTTCTGTAATGCATATGGGTTAGTTGTAGTTTTACTCTAAACAATAGTGTGGTAATAATAATAATAATTGTAAAGAAATATACTTGGTTGTTTTCAGATATAATTGGAGTTTACATTCTTGTATGCACTGGATCGTGGCCCATTACTTTGTAGTGTTTACCTGATCGAAAGTTGATATTACGCTGCCTACTTCTCAGTATGAAAAAACTCCATTTGGCTTTATCTAGATACAGTTCACAAGGATATCGAATCACCTCAGTCATCATTAATATTGTAGACGTTTACAGCGGGATTCAGCCTGACAGTGAGAGTAATAAAAAACTTACTATCGACTAACAGGAAGTTGTCTGACAGCCAAAAAGCTCTACGTGTCCTCTGTGTGTATATCACTGGCTGAAAGGGTATAAAATATCAACAGGCATACATCGACTCAAGATAGGATTAGAATAATAGAAATCTAAGGCTGATCAAAGCGAAAAGACAATTTGAGTCATGTAAGGAGGCGTAGGATACCCAAGTGAGATCCTGGAGACATCAGGAACGAATAGTTGTAAACTTCTTTGATATAGCTCAAAATTAGGCACAATGGTGTAGAAGGACACATTCTTAATCGTTTTCGAGGTCTTGAACATTTTCGTCAGTCTTCTAATTATCCTCTCACTTCTCATATACTTTCACTTACTTCAGTGTCATTCGTTTTCAGCCCACTTTTTATACGTATTCCGCTGTGAATTGTGGCATCTTGAATTGATGCACTTCTGTGTCAGGTTCTTTACTCATCCGCCAGCTTTCTGTTTGTCTGTAGAGGAAGCATATATGTATAAAACAGTGGTTTTCATCCAATAACATGGACCTACAACCTCATCAGAGGTTGAGTTCAACGCTTTCAAGTCTAACGTTGATGACGTTACCGTCCAGTCATTGAGTCCACATTTTTCAACTTCTCTATCAATTCGTGATTTAACGCAACCACCTGAATCGTTTGATCTTGTAGGTCAAGACTTTTTTCTTATAATTTCTAGAAATCCATTTAGAGTGGAATCACCAATCAGAGCTGGAGAGTAATTCAGTTGGTGATTTGCAAGAACAGCTTGACGCCAGTGTATCCTTCGAGTCTGAGGTCAGATACTCACCGATGGCATTGTCGGTAATGGATAGAAGTAGGAATTGATAGGCTTTCAGATTCTAACCAAAAGCTTAAGACCTTATACTCTAGTCTCAATTCCTTACTGGGCTTGGGTATATGCTACTGAGGAACCTCTAGATGGAACGAAACAGATATCTATTATCCACAGGAATTCACTACTTCTATAAAGCTATAGAATACAATATTTTCAATGAAGAAAGTAACTTGGTTAAATTGATTATCGTTATATATCTATGAAAATGTTTAACATCGCCTACCTTGGTCTAATCCAGAGATAATTAAATTTCCCAATAGATGAGTACAATTTGAATTAAAATTTTTCATTAAAACTCTCCAAGGGATTGTAATCTCTCTCCAAGTATATTGACTTTTACAGACTGAAATATATAAAGATAAATAAACATATGTAAACTTTCTACTCTCATCAGGAAGAGATGATGTAATTAAAAAAAAAACGAAGCACATTAAACAGATGAATATTTCAACAACCTTTTCCAGCTGATAACTGTCTAGAATTCCTTCTTATCTTCTCCTCCTTACAATATCCTTGAGAGACGGAAACTGTAAGTGAACAGTTTAGTTTCTTAGATTATCGGTTTCAAGCTCTATTGACTGAAGTATGAAATTCAGATGTTCAACTTCTATATGAATTCTTGATATGTAACTCTCTGTACATTAAGTTCGTACTGGCTGTCAAGATAGGTCTTCTCACAACAAGTTCAAATCGAACTGAATTAGTGAAGGATGACGTGATACTGATTGTCAGAGTGACTATCAGAGACAGTCAGGGTCTAAAAACCTTGTATTATTGATACTGGATAATGATTAAAGGTAAAATAAATACTCGGTTTGCGGCGCGATTCATATCATCAGAGGAAATAGGCTGTCATCCACAGAAATTGAATAATGTTCGTTGTATGCATTGGCGTAAAACAAGTTGAGCCCAAAGGGTAATACATTATCTCATCCAGTAAAAGCTTGTAAATCAAAGTAGATAGCTATAGTCATCCCATATGCTTTTTTTTTCAGTAAAATAATCAAGGGAATATACTTCCCTTTATTGTTGTAGTACACTGAAGCAATGATCCTTACAAGAAACCCTAAAGTCTTTTCGATGATATTCTATGAGTTTTAGTTAACTAAGAAATTAGATTTTAAATTACATTTGGAGCACATTTTCAGTTGTCACTTAGTGAAGAAAGGTAATCAGTCAAGGGAAGCTTGGAAACGTATATATAAGTCCCAGTTAAATAGTCGACTTGTTAAGCTGTCATATAATCAATAGTGTCAGATTTGTCTCCTTATTTCATTCAAATCAACTATCTTCTTCAGTAGTTCTTAAACTCCCTAACTTATCATTTAACACTACAAAAACTCAGTGTATGCACATCTACTGTAGTGACAATTTTGAACAGTTTGAACGACACAAGAATCCTTTATATACTATCTCAGCTAAGACGAAGAAATTCACTTCGGAATAAAAACATTTGTCAATTCTGGGGATAATATATTATTATTATTCCCTTGGGTTCCTAGTGGAACATAAAGCTTCAGTAGCACGTCACCAATCCACTCTGTTCTCTACAATCTTTTTAACCTGGCCCCACCACTGCCCACAAGCTCTCATTTCCTCCTCGCACCATCTCCTCCATGTCACCCTCGGCTCAGACACCCAACTCGTCGCTTCCAATCTGGGTTCCACTCGAGGGCCTGACGCGTGATATCTCCGAATGGTTTCCTCAGTGCAGGCCCAGTCGAATCCATCTCCACTTCCTTCCACTGCATATTTGTTCAGTGATAACTTCTTGCTTCTTTCGTTCGTTGCCAGCCAGCCAGCCAGAGTTCCTTGTTCCTGATTCTCGTTATTCTGGCCATCTGAGCTTCAATAACCAGTGAGCGTAGGCAGTTGATGATGAATGTCTGTAGTTTGTTGGAAATCCTTTTAGTAACGCGACAAGTCTCTGAACCATACAGGAACACTGACTTCACGTTGGTGTTGAAAATCCACATCTTGTTCCACATGGTGAGTGGAGTGCAGAAGATCTGCACACTGGTTTCAGATTAATGGAGGTCTATCTTGCTGTCTTTCCGATCCTGACTGGCTTTGACATCCTCGTCTATGCCTGTGCCTCGTGTAGTTGAAAGAGTGCTGCCTAGTTAGGTGTAGGTGGAAGAGGCTACTTCCTTTAAGTTTCTCACGTTGATGGTGATTGGATAATATATACATCACTTCAATCCTTGATACTTTCTTTCTGCTTCAGACAGAAATTTCTACATTTCAAGAACAAACTTGTTAATCGTGGACACTTTCATGGTGAATGTATAACACTAATATATATACAAAACTTCGGCATTGTGGTAGAATTTAATTCAATGCTAGATTTGCATAGTTGATATATAGGACACAGTGACCCATAGTGTATTTTAGTAGATGATGACGTCCCGATTATAAAATTATTGCTCATAATCACATCCAGGTATATCACAACAGCTATCATTTCATATTATTTATTCTAACTGGTAGTTACATTTCCCATATCTCTGGTATATGTGTTACATCAGTCCTAATATAAGTGTTGGGTGTAAATCCATTGAACAAAGATTCTTAAATTGTAATTACGTAAAACAGGCTAAATCTTTGCCATGACCATCATAAAGCCTTGACTTTCATAGACTCATTTTGTATTACGTAACTAACTATACATATATTTCCTTCATCCTTTGTTAAATTCCCTACTCTGCCACAGATTTAACCTGCACTAAGTAATTAAAATCTTGTTCTCTTAATCCCTGAACAAAAATTCAGTAATCAATCTCTCTCTTTCTCCACCTAATTATATTCGACTTGAGTACAGTGGTTTTCTCCCACCTATCCCATTGTGTGGTTGTATGTTAGTGAATGCATTGCAATAGCTGAATACTTTCCTAGATTACTGATCTTATTCGGGTCTGTCATTCTATATTTAGCTGAATTCCTGTGTTCGAATAATCTAATTGACCCCAACCGCCTAGTTTGACCTATGTACTTTACCTCATAGTCATTCAATCGAATTTGGCTGATTAGATGATTTTGCTTAACTGGATCTATCTCATCCTTGAACTGACAAAGCTTATGTCTGAGTTAATTTGTAGGTTCCAATGCCACCCTAACTTCACTTTTGTGAAGAATCCTACATAAAGATTCTGATATTCCTTCCTTATCGAGCAACACAAAAGAGGTTTTGAACTTATTTCTGTGTTGCCGCTATTATCAGTACTTGTTTTACTGCTATTATTTTGTTTCTTTTAACTTCCTGCAAATTTCTCAGTAAACTGAAGAGGATAATTATAAATTATTAACGCTCCTTTTATGTACTTCAGTTCCTTGTTTAGGTCCTTGCACTGGTCAGTGAGTATTTTAGCTTTATCATTTAGACATTTGACCATGCCTGCTTTAACTGACATTCGATGAGATGACTTGAAGTCTAGATACCTATTGAAATATATCGGTTTCCTGTAGACAGTAGTATCCAAACCACCGTCTGTTCTTCGTTTTAGCCTGCAATCCAACATAGGTAATTCTCCTCGTAAGTGAATTGGACTGAGCCTACTACTGAGTTTATATGTGTGAGGAAATTATCAATATGCTGCGATTTCAATATATCAAATGTATCATCCGCATATAGCCACCATATTTTTGGTGTAGGACTAAACGTTTTAAGGCCATGTTTTCTCAACTATCGATAAATATATCTTCTAGGATTGGGGATGCACGCGTCTTCTCATATGGGGGTCTTCAACTGGATGTATCTGCTTCTCAATGAGTGATGTTATTCTTGCTGAGAATCGGATCCAGAATTCACCGCTTCAGATAACAGAGGGTTATCACCTGAACTAGTGAGTCATGATAGCTACTTCTTGTGTGATGATCACAGTTTTTTCCGTAATAGCTTACAAATATAACCATCACACAGTGGGTGACTATCGCGACTTATTAACCAATTGGATAACCCTGTTGATGAGTCCGAAATAGGATTATTTAGACGACCTTGATTCAACTACCTATCCGATATCTATCATTACCATCCTAAAATCCTATGATATAACAATGAGTCACTGTTAAAATTTTGTGCATCTATAAATATCTCTTATGCCCTCAAGGCAACTCTACTAGTGATCTCCAGGGCATAGACGAAGCATCTGTTCATCACTCCTTTGTAAACAATTCTTATCAAGCTTGATTAAAATCAATTCATGGTGAAAACTCTTTTTTAAAATCAATCTTCCCACATCTAACAATCACAAATATAGAGTAATTCTGTTGGATTCATCTGTCAAGAAGTCTGTATTCTTTATTAATTACAGCCTTCATACATTCAAACAAACTAAAGGTCACTTGGAAGGGTAGCACGTTTGAACCAATGATATTTGTTAACATTGGATTGTAGGAATGACATCAGTCGGTGAATCACTGGAAGTATGGAAACGCTGAACAGTAGATAATTCTTCTTATTATGAGACTCAGTAGTGTAGACCCATGACTCAACTAGAATCACTTACTGGGAAGAAACAAATCCCCATTACCTCTTGGCTTCCAACTGTTCTACAAATTGATGTCAATCTGTGATGTTTACTAACTTCAAATCAATAGATAAATCCCTACAGATCTCTAAGTTTAATTACTTTTCTGACCGCTAGAATCAATGATTTCTAATATATACATTCAAAACATGACTCAACCCGTGGGTTAATTATACTAACTAAGCCTCAGTGACGAGCAAAGCAAAACAACTTCATCCATATGTGAACATCTTGTTGAATTGGGATACTCAGCACCTTGAGATTCATCCTTTAAAATAATTTACAAAACTAAATTGAACTACTCCCTGAAGGTTTACATTTCCACCATTTATGCATACCTGAAGCATTAGCTATACATCAACGAAAACTGAAACTTTGCATTGAAAAACGTTTTGTAAAACCACACTTTCTACACCTTGGCCTTAACAATTCATCTTGCTGATTTTGTCAATTTCAGTTCACTTTGGTATACTTCTCTTCTATTATCAGCATCATTATCACCAATTTTCACTTCTTTGACAACATTTGACCCATATCTCACTAGTTAATATCAATTTATTCCTTAATCATTGACCTACTGGACACGTTCCGGCTTAATTATCACCGTTGTACAATTCTTTGACAGCACATGTCTCTTATCTCACCACTTGTTATCAATTCCTCGCTCCTTATTCAGTGACCCATTTTTTATCTCTTCCATTTGAACACATACCACCCACCATCAACACCCATTGTATATTTTGCATATTGACTGAACAAGTCTCTTTTTAGTACAATTATCTGTCACTTTACCGAGTATAAATACGACTGTACAGCT